GTGAGGCAGTTTCTTGATTATTGAGTGATGTGGGAGGGTCAAACCCACTGCAGATGGTGCCTGGGCAGGTGGTCTTTGGTTGTGTAAGAAAGCAGGCTGAGCACAGGCCAAAGGAGCAAACCAGTAAGCAGCGTTCCTCCATGGCTGGTGCTTCAGCTCCTGCCTCCAGGTTCCTGCCCTGAGCTCCTGCCCTAACTTCCTTCCATGATAAACAGAGACCTGGGAGATGCAAGACCTGGGAGTTGTAAGATAAAATAAATGTTTCCTCACTAAGTTGACTTTGGTCAGTGTTTTATCACATCAGTAAGAAGTAACCAGAACACTTACCTCCTAGCACCCCATGATCTCAGCTCTGCCAGGACCCTGAGACCCTTCTGGGGGCTTTCCCAGCCCTGTCTTGGTATACTCCCTTCCCCACACCTCCTAGTGCCTGCCATCTCTGCTGTTAGCACCCTTGCAGACCTCCAGATCTGGGAGCTTTCCCAGACCCGCTGTAGCAAATTTCTTTTCCTACAGTCCCTGTGCTCTGCCATCTCAGCTCTGCCAGAACTCTGTGTGCTGCTGGGAGCTTTCTCAGACCTACCTGCCTTGCGCTCAGATCTGATGGAGTTACTAGGATCCTCATGCCCCAAGACGTGTGAGCTCTCCCAGCCTGACCTATCAGCCAACTTGTTCGCCTAGCAACCACCCAGCCCACCCTGCCACTCCAAAACTGAGGAGTCAATCCTAGAACTTTAGCTCAAAAGTTGTACATATCCTAAGCTTCACTGAGACCACTTCTTAAACCCCATTTGCATATCAACATAAAGTGTCCCCCAGACTGAACACCAAGCACTACTCAGTCAGGCTATAACCTGGAAAGTCGAGGAAACAGCAAACAAAGGTACAAATAACCACCCAACATAGATGAGATTGCCTGCTCATCCAAGAATCATCACCAACAGCACAAGTCCAGAGGCCTAGGTCTCATTGAAAAAAAAAAATGTATAAACAGGATAATATGCCTATTACAGAAATTAGCTCCCTCATATAATATGTCCTGAGAATGGCAACCTAGCCGATGACAGGACAAAGATTTCAAACTAGCAATTATAAATATGTTCAAGAAACTCAAAGAGGATATGAATAAAAGACTAACTGAAGGCCATGAAAACACAGTTGAATGAAATCACTAAAACAGTTCAAAGCATGAAATTAGAATTTAATAAAGAGATAGGCTCTCTGAAGAAAAGTCAAACTAAAATAAAACTTGAAATGAAAAACTAGAAACTCAAACAAAAAATCTAGAAGAAAGAAGCAAAAGGAAGTGAAGGAAATGGAACAGAGAATATAGGATCCTGAGGACAAGCCTGGGGAAATGGATTGCTCGATCAAATAAAATGTCAAACCTAACATAAGCCAGGAATGGAATATGCAAGACTTCTGGGACATTGCGAAAACCTGAACTTATAAATCATAGGCCTAGAAGAAGGAAAAGAAACCCAGGTCTGAGACACAGAAAATATTTTTAATAAAAACATAGAAGAAAACTTCTAAAATCTAGGGAATGAAATGCCCGTCAAAGTACAAGAAGTGTGCAGGACACCAAGTGGACAGGACCAGGAAAGAGAGTCCCCATGTCATGTAATAGTCAAAACTATGAATGTACAGAACAAAGAGAAGATTGTGAGAAAGATCAAGTCATGTCTAAAGGCAGGCTCTTCAGAATAACAGAATGACAGAATAACAGCTGACTTTTCAACAGAGACGATGAGAGCCAGGAGGGCTTGGACCAATGTCATACAAGTCCTGAAAGAACACAGATTACAGCCCAGACTACTACACCCAGCAGAACTCTCAGTCGTAACTGAGGGAAAAAGAAAAACTTTCCATGATAAAAACGGATTTAAGGAATTTATGTCCATAAAACCAGCTCTACAATGAATGCTCAATGGAACATTTCAGTCTGAAGAGAAGATTGAACACTCTCAAAAGGGCACAAAGAATAAATAATCCCAGAACAGCGAACCAAAAAAGGTCTAAGCAACCAGCACTACATCACCAACACAGCAGGAATTAATAAACATTGTCAATAATAACTCAATATTAATTGTCCCAACTCCCCAGTAAAAAGACACAGACTAACTGCTGGGATTAGAAAACAGGATCCATTGATTTGCTGCCTCCAAGAAACACACCTCATCAACAATGACTGGCATCATCTTAAAGTGAAAGTTTGGGAAAAAGTCTAAGCAAGTGGAACTAAATAAACAAAAGCAGGTTTAGCTCTTCTAATATCTGACAAAATTGACTTCAAACTAAAATTAGTCAGAAGAGACAGGGACAGTCATCTCATACTCGTTAAAGGAAAAATATACTAGGAAAATATTACAATCCTAACATATATGCACCACATGCAGGGACACCCAATCTCATAAAAGAAACATTATTAGATCTAAAATCAGAGAATAAATCCAACACAGTGATAGTGGGTGACTTTAGTACCCCATCATCACCAATAAACAGGTCAACCAGACAAAAATGAAATAGAGAAACCCTGGAGTTAAATGATGCTATAAATCGAATAGACCTGACAAACATTTACAGAATACTCCACCCAGACACCAAAAAAACACCTTTTTCTCAGCAGTCCATGGAACTTTCTCCTAAATCAATACATATTAGGACAAAAGCAAGTCTCCACAAATTTAGGAAAATTCAAATATCATCCTGATTTTATTTAAGCACAAAGAAATAAAGCTAGATATCAACAATCAAAATGGGGAAAGAGCACATACTCGTGAGCTAAACAGCAGCTTACTGAATGAGATTTGGACTGAGGGAGAAACTAAGAAAGGAAAATGTAAATTCCTAGAATTGAATGAAAATAAAAACTCAATAAAGGTAAACTGTTATCATTACATAGCTACAGGTTTGATTTCCCCAATACATTGTATTCTTGGCAAGCAACTATAAAACACAGGCTAACTATCACATGATCCAAACTGTCAGATATCCACTGCTTCCAGTAGACTGAACCTGGTAAAGGAGATCCTAGGGAAAAACACTGAGGAAACACTAACAATAAATGAACCAAAAAGGGAATTCCATTCATTAAAAAGAAAACAAATGTAACGGTATTATGTACAATGAATATAAATGATGAAAAAAAATTGAAAGACACATTTTTTTAAGAGAAAAAAGTAAAACAAATGCAGGCGAATAAAACAAAGCATTCCTGATTCAAGTGTGTGAAGCCAGCTTTTGGCTTCCTATTGATTCTGGCCCGTGGCCTCTCTGCTCACAGTCTGGGCTCCCCTTCACCGCATCATTCTATTCCAGGTTTGCAAAACCATCACGTCTTTTCACTAGGGCAAAATGAATTTGGCAGGAAAAGGTTTCTGCTGTGCAGCTGGAAGCCACTGGATAGCACTGGGACTTGGGAGCCGATGCTACTTAGGAGGCCCAGGCACAAGGCACAGGGATTATTGTGAGTTCTGCCAATATTGCTTTGCTGATAAAGGGAGCCTGGCAGTCAGAACAGATGTGGAGCAGCGATAAGTGATTCTGCTGTTTCAGTCAAGGTCCAGCTCAGATTAGAGAGAAGTCAACACATTGGCTTGAACCGGAAGTGGAGGCTGTGCTTTCAGCCTGCCAGTTTATCTGAAACACTTCCTGATAGATTCATTGACCCACTTAGCCACTTAGGAACTTTGAGTGCCACTGAATGTGGAAAAATGAGCGAGCACTGGGGAGTCCAGGGTGCGAGCCCAAGGTTTCTGCTTATTGTATTTCTCTGAGCAAAATCTTTAACGTCTCCAAACTGTTGAAAATATAAACTTGAGAGGAAGTCAGGGGACATGGGAGGAACTGGTGGGATGGGGGGGGGGGCTAGAAATGATGCAGAGACGATCCTCACATATGAAATTCTCAAAAGTAAAAGAATTAAAATTAAAAAATAGAACTCTAGCTTCTTGGCAAAGCTATATGAGGAATACTTGAGGCAAGGTATAGGAAGGTTCTAGAACATTAGAAGATGTCAGTTACCTTAACTAATGTCCTACTTTTCCTGTTGCTCTGATAACATACTCTGACAAAAATAATTTAAGGGAGAAAGAGTTTATTCTGGCTCACTGTTCAAGGGATAGTCCATCAGAGTGGGGAAGTTAAGGTACTGGAAGCTTGAAATTGTTGGCTACATTATGTCTACAGTCAGAAGAGAGTGATGAATACATGCTGTGGTTCAGTCCCTGTCCTGGTTAGCATAAATACCATGACCAAAAACAATTTGGGGAGGAAAGGGTTTATTTGGCTTACACGTCCATGTCACAGCTCAGCATCGAGGGAAGTCAGGTAGAAAGCGAGGCAGACACCATGGAGGAACACTGCTTACTGGCTTGCTCCCCCTGGCTTGCTCGGCTGCTTTTCTTATACAGCCCAGGTCCACTGACTCAGGAATGACACCTCCCACAGTGGGCTGGGCCCTCCTACTTCCTACATCAATTAACAATTAAGAAAAAGAGAATGCCCTACAGACATGCCCACAGACCAGTCTGATGGAGGAAATGCCTCAGTGAGATTCCTATTTCTCTTAGTTTGTGAAGAAATTGCTTCCAGGCGTGAAGTGTTTCTGTGATCATGTTGGTTTGGGGACAATATGGAAGACTTTGGGCTAGAAAAACAGTTGAATGCTGTAAGCAGACTTTAGTAGGTCATGCTAGTAGGAGCCTAGACTATAGAGGCCCAGCTCAAGTTTCAGAGGAAGCAACTGGGTAGAGGCTATTCCTGTGATATTTTGACAAAGAATCTGACTGCTGTCTGCCTACATCCTAAGAACTTGCCTGAGATTGAATTAAAAAGCAGTTTCTTTGGAAGAGGGAATTTCAAGACAACTTAATGTTGAATCTGATGTACACAGAAACATAAGGGATTTGGGGGCAGACAACCTGACCTGGCATTCCAGAGATGGCTGTCTAATTGATTTGTTCCTGGTATCCTGGGAGCAGACCGCCTCCTCAAACCTCCTATCTGTGGGCCCTTCTCCCCATGTTCTTCTCCTAGTAGCTGGCCCCTGTACTCCTCAAAGTCAATCCTTGGACTGGTCTTGCCATCGTACTGGGATACAGTGAGAGCTAGCAGTATCTGGTAGTGCATCCCCCTGATGCAGCCTGAATTGCAAGACTGTGAGAGTTTCACTCATTCCACGATTACTGTCTTTCAGGTCTTCCTAGGAATGACTTCCTCAGCAAGACCTGGTTGCAGTGTCAGCCTCCACAGAAGCTAGGTCACTGAGGAAGATTCCTTCCGGTAGCTAGAGCTGGGCTCCCCATAGTGCATGGGAGGGAGGAAGACAGCAGGGAGGCCTGCAGGTGTGTCTGCCCTTGAAAGGACAGTGCTGAAGGAACAGAAGAGCATGGCAGAAAGCTGTGTGGTCAGAGCCCAGAGGCACTGGGGGTTGGATGATGTGGGCTAAAGCTTCCGGTTCTTGGGGCCATACTTTAGGGGGCATAAAAGCCCAATTTGCAGAATAGGATCTTTATGTCAGAGCGGTGGGGAGCCAGCCACAAAGTTGGACTGAGACAGAGTCAGGATAGGGATTTGAAAAGAGCTGGGCATGGTGGCACACAGCTGCAATTCCAGCACTTGGGGGGTGGATACAGGAAGATCAAGAGTTCCAGGTCAAACTAGGCTACATGAGACTCTGGAGAGAGAGGGTTTATTAATAAGCTTCAAATAGTAGGAGTGAAGAGAGAGAGAGAGAGAGAGAGAGAGAGAGAGAGAGAGAGAGAACAATTCTGCAAAAGACAGAAAGACAGATTGGGGAGATAAGAATTGATGAGCTCTGGTGGTTACTGAAGTGATCTGGGAGAGAGATATTGGTGGCAACAGCCAGCTTGATTGAGATGAATTGAATGTAAACTGTTCTCTGTTTCGTTCGTGTGTTTGAATACTTTTAAAGGTAAGGTCTATGTGGAGGAAGTGGGTGACTGGGGTGGGGGTGGGGTCTTAGGGCTTGTAGACTGGCTCCACTTCCTGCTGGATCACTTTCCACTTTCTGGTCTGCAGATATGCGAGCCAGTAGCCTCCTGGTCCCCCTGCCCCAAGCAGTCGCTCCTGCTGCATGCCTTCTGTGTCATGATGGACCATACCATCAAAGTGTGGGCCGGATGAGTCCTTCATCCAGTTAAGTTGCTTCTTATTGGGCATTTGGTTACAGTGATGGTGCAAGTAACTAATACTGTGACAGTAGAGATAAGAGCAAATGGACTTCAAAATAGTTAAAAAGAAAAAATTGGAAATTTATTTTGTGAGTCAAATAATTATCTTTCAGCAAAACTGGCACTATCAAAATATAATTTTTATAAGGCTTATTAAATGGTCACACAAGGGACTGGAGATATGGCTCAGAAGTTAAAAGCATGGGCTGCTCTTGCAGAGGACCTGGGTTTAGTTCCCAACATCCACATGGCACCTAACAACCATCTGTAACTCCAGTTCCAGAGGATCTGACGTCCTCTTCTGACCTCTGTGGGTATTGTATGACACAATGGGTGCACTTACACATATGCAGGCAATATACTGATACACATAAAATAAAAATAATAAGTAAAGTATTTTAAAAAATAAAAAATAAATGACCACGCAAAATTTTCTATTAGTAAGACAGAGTTTGAATTTTTACAAAATCATCATATGAAGCACAATGAAAAGAAAAACAAACTCTCAAATATTAAAAGCTTTTATTATTACTTTCAAATAGTTCAAAGACATAAAAATGGAGGCTGCAGAGAGGGCTCAGTAAGTAAAGGTACTTGCTGCACAAGCCTGATACTGAAGCTTGATCCTGGGGACCTGCATGACAGAAAGAGAGAACCAACTCCCCCAGGTTATCCTCTGACCTCCACATGTGTGCATGGCAGGTGCCCCTCCCCCAAATAAATAAATAAATAAATAAATAAATAAATAAATAGTGTAATAAAAATTGTAAGATAAACACACACAAAATGAATTCTGACAACATAGGTGGATTTATTTATTTTATTTTTTACTTTTTGGCATTACTAGGGGTTGAACCCAGGGCCCCACATCCCCTCAGCAAATATTCTTGGCAATGAACTACATTTCCAGCCTCTGGATTTATAATTCTAAAAATAATTTTATAGGGAGGAGAAACCATTACCTATTTTAGCCATATGTACATATTCATTCAAATACAGATATAAATGTACATCTCAGAAATATTTTAAAAACAATCTAAAAGGGAAATCTTATCAAATATACAGAAATACACATTATATACTTTTTATAAAGAGAAACACTAGCAAACTATACACAAATAAATCATATGTAAACATTTCTTAAGTTTTGTAAGCATTGCATAATCTATGCGTTTTGCATGTATCAAATCATGTTTTCCCAAGGGATTCAAATAACATAACAGAAGTTGTTTTGTTAACCTCTGATGTATGTATACTTTACCATCGTCACTTTGAATAAAGAAATTAACACATAGGAATTCATCTTCTTAAAGTCGCAATGAATATTTTTAAGCTGTGACTAAATTATAGTACATAATCCTGTACTGCAAATCCTAAATTAGGAACCATATGTCTTTATATAAAAACATGACTAAATCAAATTAGCATTAGAACACACAACCACACCCACATATGCACCCAGATTCAAGTACATATGCCAACACATGAATAGCTTAGAAACTATTGGTCTGTCCATTCACACCCTAATGCCATAGACAAAATATCAATGAAATAGAAAATTACAAAGTCTCTCACACAAATGATGCCACAAGAAATCACTTGGGTATTCTTTTTTAAATATTTTTATTTCTTATTTTTATTTTATGTGTATGAGTGTATTGCCTGCATGTATGTGAGTGCACCCATGTTGTGCAATGCCGCAGAGGTCAGAAGACGGCTTCGGATTCCCCTGGAACTGGAGTTAAGGATAGTTTATAGCTGCCATGTGGGTGCTGGGAATCGAACCCAGGTTCTCTGCAAGCACAGTCAGTGCTCTTAACTGCTGAGCCATCTCTCTAGTCCCAACTTGGGCATTCTTAAATAAGGAGTCCTGACTTCATTAAAGAACTTGTTAAAATAGAGAGTCTCTAATTTCCCAATGGTGTTTCCCTCTTATAAGCAGGAAAAAGTTTTATGAGGGCCTTTAATTAACATTTAGCCTTGTTTATATCACTAAGCTGACACTTCCTCAACTATTAGATGAAAACAGTTATAAATCAATGGATTGTCAGTACTAACCTGATTCCTGGACAATTGAGCTGTAGTAGGCCTTTTCTTATGAAACATAAATGAGATTTAAAGGTTCAGCAGTGGACTTGGGGCAGGTGCAGAAACGTTTAGCAGCCTTTGCTAGATGCACTGACTCAGCCTCCAGTTGACATGGAAGATAAAGAGGCAGCGGGTGCCTGAGCAGGCTCATGACACCGAGTAAGCGGAAACTGGCAGTGTGGTCTAAAAGGAGCCTGGAACCCCACACTCCATGTGCTTCCCTGAGTTGATGATCTTAGTAAACACCTTGTCTAGATAGTAGCTTCTAGAACAGTTGTACAGAAGGCAGCGTGGTTCACGCTCTATAGGTTGTTGCATGCTCTGATCCTTGAAGTCTGCTTCCCAGGAATACAGACATCATAAGCACTGTACTTGAAGGAAGGAAACATCACTCATCTTGATCTTGGTGAAAAAAATACCTGGAAAATCAAACATATACCCATTACATATCACAAAAGTATATTTCAACAAGAGGAATTATTAGCAAAAAATACTAAAATTACAATGTTCATGGGCTGTGGACAAAGTTGTCGTTCACTGTGTGAGAAATTCTGGCCTTGCTGAGGTCTGGGGTGCTCATAATTAAGCCACAATTCTTACATTGTCCCCCTTTATCTGGATGCTGAGAATTTGATAGATTCTTGATTGTTACCAAATACCTGGGCAGGAATGATAAAATGATTTCTTGGGCCTCCCACTTAGAACCTTCATCAGTAACTGTGCATTCCTCTCAACAACCCATCCACTCCAGCTGCTCCATCCCTTGTGGCTGGAGAGCAGCTGACCCTGAGCACATCCCAATCTGTTGGAAGGCAGATTGACAGAGGCTGGCTTTGAACACAGGCACTTGACTGTCAAGGTACAAGCTGGAGACGTCATTCTTTCACACAGGTGATGAAGCTTTCTTGGGCTTATGCTTGGTCACCCCAGTAGTTCTGAGTCCATTTGAATGTGCATTAGGAGAAAACAACTAGACTTATAAATTCATGTTTTATTAAAGAAATGATTTCTTATCTCAGGACCAGAGTGGTATATTGGGTCCAAGTTAATAGACAATAGTTCAGTAATTTAGAAAAAGAATAATTGGTATTAGATATATAAACCTATATCTACATGTGGATATGCACCAACTCGCACACATTGTGGCAGGGACAGGAGGACACTTCCACTGTCAGACAGTTGTTCAGTGACATACTGCAGTGTAAAAGTACTGTACTGTATGCAATTCAGGTTGAAAACATACTTATATGTCATTACATTGCATGCGTTTACATGCCACAAACCAAGGCACAAGGACCAAACGGCACCCTTTGTAAAACAATCTGTCTATAAACTTTTATTCAAACACAGTCTTGGTAGACAGAATCATAGCTCTCCAAAAATGTCAGAGGTTAACCTAGTCCCCAGAACCAGGGAACATGCTACCTGACCTGGCAAAAGGGACTTTGCAGTTATGATTAATGACCTTGAGATGGGGAAGTGAATCTGGGCAATGATTTGTCAGAAAGGGGGCATAGGGAGGAATATGGGTCAGAAGCAGGAGAGATACTTGGTCTGTGGTTTCTGGCTTTGGATAAGGGAGGAGCCAAGAACCAAGGAACACGAAACAGTCTCTAAATTCAGCATATAGCACAGTAAAAAGTGACATCAGTCCTCTAAGCATAAGGAACCAAATGCTGCCAACAGCTCAGATTATCAAGGGAACACGTTGTCCCCTAGAGCCTCCAGAAAGAAATGCAGCTCTGCCAATACTTTGATTTTAATCCAGGAAGGAGTACTGTCAGGACTGGGGAGATAGCTCAGTTGGTAAAGTCATACACCTGAGTTTAAGCCAAGCCTCAGGACTCACATTTAGAAAGCCAGGTACGATAGTCTATATGGTAGCTGAGCCTCAAGGCAAGGCCCAGGTCAATGGATACCTTGCCTTCCCCCACAAGAAAAGAGAAAAGAAAAGAAAAGAAAAGGTAGAGAGGACCTGAGGAACACTCCCCGAGCCTCTGGCTTCCACATGCACACACACACACACACACACACACACACACACACAAGCACTGTGAGACCTCTGACCTCCAGAGCAGTAGAACAATAAGTCTGTGTTAACCCACTGAATTTTAATGATTTGTTTAATGGCAGTGTTAGCAACCTGATACAACAGTCTATCCATTCGCTATGACTGCGGTTCATTTTTCAAGGCAGACTTAACAGGAGGTGACAGAGACTCTTTGGTCCACAAAGCCCGACATATTTGCCAGCTGGCCCAGCACAGCATTCATGACACTCTGCTTTCTACTCACAAGCCAGCAGCCAGCAGTGGCTGAGCACTCGTTTGTGGCTAAGTGCTGTGCAAAGTATTTAGTGCCCAGCTCTGTGCTCTATGATTGGTTTTATTTTGGTTTCCAGTTTACAAATGAAATAAATGGAAGTAGGGAGGTTGTCCTAGTTTGTTCTTCATTGCTGTGACAAAACACTCTGACCATGACCAACTTGGGGAAGAAAGGGTTTATTTGTCTTACATCTCCCAGGTCACAGTTCATCCGGGAGCCCAAGGTAGGAACTCAGGGCAGGGACCTGGAAGCAGGAGCTGGAGCACAGGCCACAGAGGAACGCTGCTTACTGGCTTGCTCCCCTGCCCCCTGCTCAGTCTGCTTTCTTATGCAACACAGGCCCACCTGCCCACAGTAGGCAGGGCCTTCCCACATCACTCATCAAGAAGATGCCCTTCAGACATGGCCATAGGCCAGTCCAATAGAGGAAATTCCCCAACTGAGGCTCCCCCAACCCAGGTGTGTCAAGCTGACATTAAAGCTATCCAGCACAGAGCTTAAGTAAGTCCTTAAGTTCAGCCAGAGAGACAAAGGTAGGCAGAGATTATCAGCTGAGTCTAGGCTTGGCAAGATGGCTCAGTGGTTAACAGCGTTTGCTGCAGAGGACTGCTGATTAGTTTCCAGCACTCACATCAAATGGCTCACAATCACCTGTAACTCCAGCTCCAGGGGATCAATGCCCTCTTCTGCACCCTGTGGCTGCCCACACTCATGTGGCACACACACACATACACACGCACACATATATACACACACATACACACATACACAAAGTTTTAAAAATATTTTTTAAAAAAGAAAAACAGGGACTGGAGAGTTGGATCAGTGGCTAAGAGCACTGGTTGCTCTTGCAAGGAATCAGGTTTGAGTCCCAGCACCCACATGGTGGCTAACAACCATCTGTAACTCCAGATCCAGGGGACTCTGATACCCTCTTCTGACCTCCTCGGGCATTGTACAACATGGGCGCACTTACATGTCTGCAGGCAGTACACTTATATACATGAAATAAAAATATCAAAGAAGAAAAAAGAAAATTGAGTCTATCTGACGTCTAACTGCCTTGCAAGCTTGGCTCAGTCCTGGTCATGTGAAAAACCTTGCAGAGGGCAACAGGCACCCCGATGCTCACCTGAGCATCCTACCGTGGGCAGAACGCAATGGGGAGCTCCCGGCTGGGCACCAGGATACCCAGATGCAGCACCTCTACAGACTCAGTGTCGGTAGCCACAATGTTATATTTGCGAATGATCTGGAACACACATAGAAAAAGCAGAATTAACCCTTTCTTTTCCTGCTTTGTGAAATACCCCAGAACATGGTTGTAGAAACCCAGTAAGGATTTTACCCAACAAAGAGCCAAGTGGAGCTGGAGCTCAGCCAGCCGACGTCCGATACACATTCTCTTCCCAAGGCCGAAGGGAAGGTGTGCAAAGGGGTTGATCTTTTTCTCCCTTTGAAGCCAACGTTCAGGTCTAAACTGATTACAGTCTTCAAAATTGTCTTCACTGGAACCCAGCACCTGGGTATTTAGCATTAATACTGTCTAAAGACACAGAAAGATGTCACATTTTAAATAACCAGAAGCAAAATTCAGAAGTGATCAGTTTACAAATATAAAACTAATCCACCAAAACATAATAATGATGATTACCAACATCCACTGAATGCTTACGACATGCCGTGGAACAAACAGGTGCAGAATACATACATTTCTTATGTATGCACATGTGTGTGGTACATGCACACATGATGTCCAATGTTCTGCTCTATCACTTATTCCCTTGACACAGGGTCTCTCTTAACCTGGTGCTAGGCTGGCAGCCAGAAGGCTCCAGAGATCGGTCTCTCTGTGCCCCCCAAACACTGACCCACACAGCCACGTCTGGCCTTTTACAGGGTACTGCGGATTCAAATCCATCGCCTCATGCTTATGCAGTAAGTTCTCTTACCCACCGAGCTATCTCCCTCCCCAGCTCCAGAACCCTAAATTTTTTCATTCCATCTTCACAACTTCCTCCCACCCCATTTTATAGATGAGGATGACACTCCCAGATGCTTTGGAACTCACTCAAGACCACACAGATAATAATCACAGTGGATCCACGTCTCTGTCTCCATGGCCCTGTCCCTAATTCTGTACTGAGTACCATGTCAACTATAAATCCTCTATGGGTTTCCAAAATGAATGCTGTCCTGGTAAAAAGTTTCAGGGAGATCTGATGAACATTTGGAAAATGTACCTTTCCAAATTTTGTTAGTGTATAAAATATGCAAAGTCTACTTACTCCTTTGGGCAAAGTGTATTCACCCAGAACTGTTGGCTTGTCGAGAGTCCGAGTTGTAAACGGCACACTTGGGGTAAGCCTGAAGAAACAAAGTCAAAAGTATAAGGGTGATCACAGACCACATTCTGTCTGATGTCAGTGAAACGCAGACCCAGTGAGAAAGTCAAACACTGTAGAAATTTATACTCAGACCAGGAGCGTTACCACAGCCCTGCGTAAAGAAACCCTCTCTCCTCAGTGTGTATCCCCCTTGTTTCTTTGTCTTATCACATTGGCCGTATCCCTTGTAAAAGGCCATGAGTGGCTTTTCCTGCTTCATTCTGAAGTCTGCCTTTTTTTTCTTGTAATACTTTTAAACTATCTACCTTTCATGAACTTAGCACTATTTCCTTCCAATCCAAAGATGCAAGTAGATGGGTAGCATAAGCTAAACTGGGTAGGTCATAAAAAAAAAAAAGAGGGCCACAAAGTTGGGAGGGGCGGATCTGGGAGGAGTTAGGGGCAGAGTGGAGGATGAATATGATTCAAATACATTGTATTCATGTACGAAATTCTCAAAGAATTAGTAAAATGTTATATATATATTTTTTTTTTAATTAAAAAAAACCATAACTCCAGTTCCAGGGGATCTACACCTTCTCCTGATCTCCACAGGTATTCCACAACTCAAGTGTGTTTACGTACGTGCAGGCAAAACACTCATACATGTAAAACAAATAAAAATATAAATAAATAAATTTTTTAAAAGTCCTTTAAGCTGGGTGTGGTGGTGTGCACTTTTAATCCCAGCACTCACTCAGTAAGCAGAGGCAGGTGTATCTCTGTGAGATCAAGGTCATTCTTGTCTGGATCGCGAGTTCCAGGCCAGCTAGGGCTAGAGGAAGACCTTGTCTCAAAAACAAAACAAAACAAAACAAAACAACAACAACAACAAAAAGAAAGCAATGTACTTTAAGTTCCTTTTCTGCAGTTTGATAGATGTTTATAATCAAGCAAGGGGGCCGTCTAGGAGGTACTCTTGTTATGCTTTTAAGAAAATACTTTTCTAATGATGAATTGTCAAAGAAATAAGAGAGAAGAGTTTTATAACTGGTTGGCTCAGAGGTATGTCCTTACCTCATTGATTCCTTCAGACAGGCCTTTAAATAGGGCATATTTCTTAAGTCTTCTGCCCGTGGCACCTGGTTCTCAGGCAACACAGTCTGTATTTCCTGAAGGAGTTTCTGTTGCACTTGAGGATTGCGGGATAGATTGTAGAGGACCCACATTAAGCTGTTTGCTGTCTGAAAGTCAAATAGACACAAATGTCAATCTCTGCCAGTAACTGTCCTCAAACTACCGTCTACTGATCACAAGGTCACATTACCACCACCTTCTGATTTTTTTCATGTGTCCTGATTTTCAGTGCCTTAAACAGATTCAACATAGAAAAAGTCATTTATTTCGTGAAAGTTATTAATTCTGAATAGCTTAAGGAATTACAATGGAGTCCTATAAATTATCAGCTGCCTTAGGTAGGTCATTTAAACTAGTTTGACGTAATTGTGAATAAATACATACGTATACAACTAGGTAAACAAGAGGGTTGGGGATGTGGCTTTGCTCATTTCAGGGACGTCATATTTTATTGCTATGAGTGATGTTACCACCAGGGGGAAATGGGAGACAGCCGCGAAGGCATCCAGTTCCAGTGTTCCATTTCGTTTCCTCCCTCAGACCTACCCGTGAGTTCAACAGTTAAAAGTTGAACGAGAAATTGTTGAAAGGAAAAAACAAAAATTGATGTCAAATCAAGTAAAGAAGGAAGAGTAGAAAACCTTGGAGAGTTGCTGAGAGGTATTCTAAAAATATTTTTGTAGGAACTAGGGAGATGGTTCAGTGGTTGCACACTGATGGCTCTTGCAGAGGACCTAGGTTCAGTTCCCAGCACCGACATGGCAGCTAACAATTATCCATAACTCCAGTTCCAGGGATCTGCTCTCTTCTGACCTCCATGGGCACTGCACGACATGGGTCCATTTATATACAGGCAGGCAATACACTCATATACTTAAAATAATAAAAAATAAAAATAAAAAATATTTTTGCTGAGCAAATTACATGCATAAGGTACTGTCTCTTAGGAATTTAAAACTGCTTTTGGCCACACCCTAAATTAACCACAAACATGCAACCAGGGTTTTAGACACATGCACGATGCCCTCTTAAGAACATCAAAAGATCTGCTGTGTTCCTGGCCCTCTGTTGCATGAGGGAGCTTCATTAATGAGAATCGAGATAGATGTTAGTGTTCTCGTTACCCCTTGTTCTATGTTCCATGAGTCTAAGGTGTAGAGGTTGCATTGCAGACAGCACGTACAAGACCCCTGCAAACTCCAGCAGACAAAATCCCAGCATAGAACTGGGGAAATGGACAGCAAACCCCAATCTTAGATGAAGAAATATTGGCAACTGATTATTGCTGGGTGAGGAAGAGCTGATCTCACCCAGTGAGGAACTCTAGATAGGCTGACTAGACCTCAGTAGATGAACTTGCACTGATGGATGTCTGGGGACACTAACTTGACACAATAGGCCTTAACACAAATGACAGAATGCATGAATTCCAGTGGGGGGTGTTGGGAGGGTGCCGGGGGGACGGGGATATAAAGATGATCAAGGTTGATTGAGATGCTCTGTATGAAATACATAAAAATTCAATAAATTTTTTTTAAAAAATCAAAAGAAATTCTAGTGTGGAGTTGAGCCTGCCGAGGAGCCAGTTGAGGCTTTTGTCAAAGGCTGGTGGCCTTTGCAAGAAGTACCTTTTGTGTCTTTTCCAAAAGAAGGTGAAGAAAAAAATCATTGGCAGAAGCAGCCGTCATAGCCTCGAGCCAGGCACCATTCATCAACAGTCTCATGCAGCTGGATGCTCTTAGCCAGTTCAAGCCAAATATTCCCCTAAGCCCAGAGGTTGCAGACTCAAAGGCACTGAGACCAAATGCCATGTGCCCCTCATGAAAACGCACAGAGGGCAAGTCGGGGCAGAGTCAACCGTTATTTAGTATTTTGGAAGATGGCGCCCAGGCAGGCTTCACAGTAGAGGGCTGGTGGCTTCTGCTGCAAAGAACACTGATGGAATTATTACAAGTGTTGCATTTACAGAACAGGAAGAGGGTGTAGCCTCCAAATTAGAGGGAGTCAGATGGCGCTGACTCTTCCAACGTGTCTGTCAGAATAACTGGGAGTGGGAAGGAAATGGATCAAGTGTGTAACCCATCAGAAAGTGCCTTGCCGCAAGAACCAAATAGAGCTCCAGAAGCCGGATGACTGTGGCTTTTACCAAAGCCAGGGGAGACAGTCTGGGCCCCTGGCAAAAACTGCAGCATTTGAGCTGAGGGGAAGTGGGCTGGGAAACTTCAAGGACAGAGATTGTCCTGATGTGACCTCAGGGGAGGAGACCCATCTCCTTAAATGGCCTCTTGGTGCCACTTTCCCTCGCTAAGTTCGGTCTCCACCCACCAGCCATAATCCACTTGTCTAACACAAATTGACCAGGTGATTCTCTTGCTTACACGTTCCAACGGGCATATATGTCCCTTTACACCAAAAGGTATGGAATGTCCCCAACACAGGTGTAAGAGAACCTACATGCTCAAAAGGCCCTAGCTAGCATGGACCATTGATTTTTAAATCTCCACTTTGACCATATGGCCAGTTTTCAGGTTATGTCCCTCTGTTCACCCCAGGGCCTTTGCATGTGTTGTTTCCGCTACCTTGCATGGGCTTCCATCACTTTTCCCCATCACTGGTTCCTTTGCATCTTTCCATTATTGGGGCTATTATTACCTTCTTGGAGAGGGACCCATCCCACCCCATCTCTATCTCTGTTACATTCCCCTCATGGCTTCCTTCATGATGTATACTGCTATCTGACATAACTCTGTGTGTAGCTACGTATGCTCTCCTTCTTCCTTACTAGCATCTAAGTTCCATGAGGAAGAGGAATTTGTCTCTTGTTCCTGGTGGACTTTCAGGAGCGTGGAGCAATCTCTGGCATATAGCAGGTATGCCACAGTTCTCAACCTCTTTCATTTCCTCAGTAAGCATTTATTAGCCACCGTTTGTATGCCAGGTGATCTTCTGAGTTCTGGGATCAAATTCAGATCCTTATACTCACAGGACAAGCACTTTATCCCCCAGCCATCTCCCGAGCCCTACATTCAATTTTTAAAATCCTCAATCATCTTTCCAGGGTGTGGGAACGTCACTGTTTCTGAATTCTGTAGCAGGTCTTGTTGCCTGCACTAGAGCTGTATCATCAGAGCACCTGAAGTCTCCTGACAAAGTTTAAGCACAAAGAAGCCATGCATTGTGTCTCCCATGGTGCCTACTCTGGGCCTTTTGGGTTTTGCTAGGCTAATGCTGCTTAGGGAATCCTGGTAGAAGGGATAAGTTCAGTGACTACTTAAAATTCATCATGAAATAAAATTGCACAGATGACTGTTTATTTAGCAAGGTAAGTCCCAGCCCACCCTGAACCCCAGCCCACCATGAGCCCCAGCCCACCCCACCCTGAACCCCAGTGCACCCTGAGCCCCAGGCCACACTTGCCGTTTCCACCGCAGCCAGCTGGAGCTCCGTGACAGCGGCGTACAGTTCTTTCTTGGAAAGCTGCTTGTGGCGGTAAATGTCACAAAGGAAATCTGCATCAGGCTGCTGAGAATATTTTTCTAAGCGGCTGTCGATGCAACCCTTGACTGTTACAGAAAAGAGAAACGAGAAGAGAGGGTGGAGTTAGGATGAGGAAGATAACCCAGGAAAATCGTTTTGCAATATTGAGTCTTTTCAGGGATACTGACAATTTGCTAATTAAGCTAATATTGTCTTCTTGCTAAGCTGGCAAGAATTTTTCAAGGTCACATAACTCTCTTCAAGGTCTCCTGAGTATCTTCTTAAAGTATGGATTTGGAAAAAGTCTGCATTTCTTTTGTTTGTTTCTGAGACAGTCTCACTATGTAAGCCTCGCTGGCCTGGAACTTGCTATGTAGAACAGGCTGGCCCCAAACTCACAGATATCTGCCTGCCTCTGCCTCCCAGATGCTGGGACTAAAGGCATGTACCACCATGCTTGGCCCCAAAGTCTGCATTTCTAACTAGCTCCCACGGAAATGCAGAGACTGTAATCACAGGCTGAGCAATAAAAGCTTAGAGCTTGGGAGCATCTGCAGGAGAGGGGATGAAAACTGGGCTTATGCTTAGATTCAAAACTGGGACACACATATTACTAAACATACATGCAAGTTTAGTGCCTGGGAACATTGATGATAACAGTTAAAACATTTAGCATTTATAAAATACATTCTAGGCAAGTGTTTCATTCAACTCACTATGCAAGCATTCAGACACCCAACTATGAGCATCACGATGCTGATTGTCAGGATGGCCACAGATGGTGCAGCTAGCCTCTGAGCCCCGAAGCGTGACCTAGCATGGAGTCTTGGGAAAGCTACTCACATGTGTCTCAAGGGTGGTGCTTGGGGCTAAATCTTACCATACAAATTTGTCCTAAGAATGAAATGCACACAGGCACACAACTCCTAACCTCAAATATCCCTTTGCCATGTAGTAGAAATAACCCTAACCAACAAAATATTGTCATATACCCAATGTTTATGTTTTATCAAGCCAGAACCACCAAGGTAGGAATTACTGTCATTCATCTATTTTAGAAACCAGGCGACTGAGGACGAAATAGTGGACCCACGTTGGGCTAAACCACACACATGAACCTGGAGTCTCTGACTCCAAAGTTCCTGCTTGAAGCACTTTCAGTTTGCAGAAGGGGCTAGGAAGAGCTACCCGTTGCCGTTTTCCACCTACTCTCATGGGTTTGCAAAGCTCTAGAAAGCAGGAGGAGCAATTCCACAGGAAGATGGGGATGGGTCATCCAGAAAGATCACAGCAAGGGGCTGGAGAGATGGCTCAGCAGTTAAGAACACTGACTGTTCTTGCAGAAGACCCGGGTTCAAATCCCAGCACCCACATGACAGCTAACAACTCTCCATAACTCCAGTTCCAGGGGATCAGACAGCCTCTTCTGACCTCCGTGGGCATTGCACGACATGGGTGCGCTTACCTACATGTAGGCAATACATGCACCAGAAGGTAAAGTTGTCTTCAGTAACCAGAGTCTCAAGCCAGACTAGGCTAAAAGACCGTGACAAAAAAGAAAGGAAGGAAGGAAGGAAGAAGGAAAGGAAGAAAGGAAGGAGAATAAATAAAATATTTAAAGAGAAAGAAAAAGAAAGAAAGAAAGAAAGAGAAAGAAAGAAAGGAAGGAAGAGGGAGGGAGGGAGGAAGAGAGAGAGGAAGGAAGGAAGGAAGGAAGGAAGGAAGGAAGGAAGGAAGGAAGGAAAAAAATTATAAAAATAAGATTCATT